CCAGGTGACCACTGATCCATCGACCAGGATTGCAGCAAATGCATCGTCAGAAGCTTGGATCTGCTGCACATCTCGCAGCTGATCCTGCACCTCACTGCTGTCGCCACCAGCGCGAGGAACCCCCCAGGTGACCACAGATCCATCGTCCAGGATGGCAGCAAATACGCGTTTGGAAGCTTGGATCTGCTGCACGTGTCGCAACCGATGCTGTACCTCACTGCTGTCCCCTCCAATGTCGGCATTGCCCCAGCTGACGACAGATCCATCACTCCGGATTGCAGCAAATGCCTCATTAGAAGCTTGAACCTGCTGCACATCTCGCAGCTGATCCTGTACTGCACTGCTGTCGCCACCATAGTCGGCGACGCCCCAGGTGACCACGGATCCATCAACCAAGATTGCAGTGAATGCACGCACAGAAGCTTGGATCTGCTGCACATTCTTCAGCTGCTTCTGGACGGCACGGCTGTCGCCACCATAGTTGGCTCTTCCCCAGGTGACCACAGATCCATCACCCAGGATTGCAGCAAAAGCACCCTCAGAAGCTTGGATCTGCTGCACATTCTGCAGTTGCTCCCGTACTGCGCTGCTGTCGCCACCACATGTGGCTTTCCCCCAGGTGACGACAGATCCGTCGCCCAGGATTGCAGCAAAAGCACCACCAGAAGCTTGGATCTGTTGCACATTCTTCAGCTGGTCCTGTACCGCACTGCTGTCGCCACCAAATTCCTCACAACCCCAGGTGACCACAGATGCATCACCATCGCCCAGGAGTGCGGCAAACGCAAGACCAAGTCCGCCTTGCCTGGTGGCTTGAATCTGCACTCGGCTCACATGTAGAGTGAGCACGTCTCCACTCTGCAATCCCGCTTCAACAATGGTTGTTGCTGCGTCGAGGACTTCTCCAGAAGAAGTCAGCAGCCTCCCTTTATCCTTGACCACCAGAGCACTCTGGGCACGCTGCTTCAATGACTCGATGGATGCATCCAACTCCACTTCTAAAGAAGCACTCTTGCCACTGAGCAGGTGCACATCCACTGAAATCGGCATGGTTCCGCTGCATGCAAGATCTAGGACCTAAGACGACTTCGGGACCCAAGGCCAATACGCCGTCGTGTATGTTATGCCGATCTGGCCCACAAGTCTTGCACTTCGTCGAAAGACATGGGAGACTGCTGGATTCTGCTGGATGCGTCTATGAGAGGCAGAGGTGACATTTAATCGCCTCGAGTTAAACCCAGAATTGACAGCTGTCAGATAACGATGGCATGGACCGACACTTCACTCTTCAGTGCTCAATCAGAAAGCAAGCCCATCAGCCGTTCCGTTGGAGGGGGAACCCAAGCCTTGCAAAGCACACGCAGCCAAAGACTCCCGACCAACGTTGAAGAAACTCTCAAACCTGATTGCCTCCTCCAGCTCTTTCTGCCGCTTCCTGGCGATCCTCTCCTGAAGCGCGCAAAAAGACAATTTGGTCACTGGGGATGGAGCACATCTGAGTACATTCATCTGAGTCTGATCCTCTCAGGGCCTCTCTGCCAAGCCTGAAGCGAGATAAAAAAAAACCATGAACAAAGCTTTAACCCTGAGCTTCGTAACAAGGCCGTCCTGCTCTCGTTCCGCTTTGCGCTTCTTCCATTCCTGGGTTACTTTCTCCTGCTTTTCCGCCAGCAGCTCCTTGTGCACCTTGCGCTTCGTCTTTCAAAAGCTCGAAGTCTCGAAGCCCTAAACCCAAAGGCAAGCGCAAAGCGGCCTTGTCTTTGAAGTCGGCAGGAGGCTCGCCCATGACCACCTCCAAGAAGCAGGCTTCGAGGATTCCCGGTAACCCCACCCACAGCCATGCGCGCACCTGGGCCACTGTCTTGTAGCAACTGTCTGCGAAGCGCTTAATGAGCTGCTCCCGCTCCTGTCTTGTAGCGGTGAGCGAATCCAGCCCGACGCCGTGTCAAAAGCGCTTCGAGGCCCGTCCTCTTTTATGAGGTTGGACTTGACCTCCATGACCTCGGGTGAGCAAGCCAGCACAGAGCGCATCGTGCCATGAACCACACCTCAAGACCACAGCACTGAGCCGAAAACGACGCACGTACGTTCCAGGGAGACTACCAGACAGTTTCCGAATTGCAAAGCCTCCGCAAGAACTAGGAGCCGCAAAACTGTCTTCATGCACTCCACGGTGCGGAGGCCCGTCTCGGACAGAGGAAAACAACAACTCACGAAGATGGAACGTTTGTAAGCCAATCTTGAAGAATCCTGCAGAGAAACCTCATTTCCGTAAACTCCCTGAAGCCTTTTTCCTGGGCCCCGGCAACATAGTTTCTCGGCTGCAAAGGGGCCACCGCCTGCACGGGAACTCTCTCTCTCTCGCGGACTCAGAGGTCTGTCAGCCGCGCGGTGGCTGGAACTCCAAAGAGAAATACTTCGCTTCAAGTGGACCAGGCAGAACTCGTTTTACTCGACAAGGATTTCCGGTGCCAAGCTCGCACGGTAATTATTGTGACATGTGTACTTGGTGTGCGCCTGCATCTAGTGATCTTGACGCTAACCCCCCAAAACGGGTACAAGGCACCTGGATCATCCGCCGAGCGGAGAAGTCGTCCAGGTAGGGCACTCGGAACCTGTGAGCTCACGGCCGTTTTGATCGAAAGCTTCTGGTCTCAACTTTCCCTTAAGAGCCCTTCACTCCATGCACGCCGCGGTGCTGCACGTCAGGCTTGTCGTTGCAGTGCCTCGGAGCAATTCTAATCCCGCGTGTTGCCACGATGCTTTACTTGAAATCTTCAGGTGGCTCAAGCAGGTTCCCGGCAAAGTAAAGTTCATCCTTCAACCCCTCGTGCCAAGCTGCTTCCAAGCTTGTCCCTCTCCGCAATGGAAGCCTCTCAAGCTTGCGAAAGCACCCCATCAGTCTCATGGAGGGCAGTACGCTTTCTGGCTCTTCTCTGGTTTGCGCAGGCACACGAATGCCTTCATCGCGAGTGCTCGTAGCTCAGTTTATGGCAGCCTATGAGAATGTGGTGCTTGCCACGGCCGGAAAGTCCCGACCGAATCTGAAATGAGCTGGGCAACCGCTCTTCTCGGCCCACTTCAGAATGGCCCGGTCCGACAACCTGAGCTGCGGAACTCACTGTCATGCATCACAGGCAGAGGGCCTGTGTCATGCTGGGCACAGCCGAGAAAGTCGGCAGCCGAAAGCCCTGAAGCCCCCAACTATCATGTGATGTCGATCGGAGAGCGGAGAGTCTGAAGTTTGTACGCCGTCGATCCATGGGGCATGGGATTGTATCGGGTAAGGGGGGCCGGATCCAAACTGCGGCTACAGGTTCCGTTTTTGCAGAGCAGCGTCCAGGGTGTGCTCAACATGTTATGGTGCGGCCTGTGCAGTGCAAAGAGCTTTGAAAGACTTACATCACCGGTTTGCCAATACTCTACGCCCCAGGTACAGTATCTTCTGACTCTTCTGACCTGGGCATGTAACACGAAACACGGTGGGAAACGGGGGGCTCCATGACCATGAGCCACAAGGCTCAACAAACTTCGGGTTCTTGGCCAGGAAGTCATCCAGCCAGTCAAAGGTACCTGGGATGGGACTATGAACACTGGTTCGCGATTGGAGATATAATCAGGATATATTAAAAATGCTTATTTTCAATGCTTATTGGGTTATATCATAGCAAAAATGTTAAATTGTATCCAACAAGGACCCAGAACGTTAGGTGCACCTTACTTGATTCGACAATTTTAGGATGTGCCGGGTCGCCTTCGTCAGGCACCCCGACCGGGAAAAGGACCTCGAACTTCTCGTCCTGTCATAGGGCAGCGACTGGGGGTTAAGGCATTCCAGAGGCCCTTGTATGCAAGAATATACCCTAAACGTCCATCAACGAAGTCTACTGACATTCACGGGCATCATCATCCTCAAAACCCTAGACGCAGCAGGAGCCAGAGGCAGCAACAATCGAAAATCGACCCACTACACGAAACAGTCTGCCAGATTCAGCGCACATCCGACCCCACCATACTCAAGGGGCCACCTTCGGCTTCGCTGCTGCCACCGCGTCCGTCACGGGAGCTTCGGAGACGCCGTAGCATTTGAAGGCCAGCGGCCTAGGAGCAACAAAACCCCGTAGAGTCTAGTTAGACAAATATAGTTTAGCTTTAGTGATGGGTACCACTGACGAGTACCGCACCTGCAATACCCTGTGGCGAGCATTGCCTGGCTAGGACGAACCTACGACGATTAAGGCCCTAAGGCTAGGGGTTTCGAAATCAGGCTCCTGAAAGAGGGATTGGAAATTGGCCAATCCTGTTCTTTCTGAATTCCCTCGGCCTGCACTTCACCAAAACAGGCACATTACGGATCCTTTGTGTAAGGAGCCCGGTATTCACCGTTCCGTGCATGCCGACATGGAAAACTTAAAGTCGACTGGGTCGGTGAAGTTGACGGTGAATTTGGCAGCTTTCTCCTGTTCTGGGTATGTTGACGGGTTGAGGGCTTTGCATGTCTGATCCAGAACGGGCTTCAAAGTGAACTAGCAGCCCAACCTGAATGCTAGTTAAACGTAGGGGGGAATTCTGGCCCTTCGCCACCAGCCGACAAGCCCTGCCCCCAATCAAGAACACTCACGACCAGCAACGTGAGCGGGGAGGCGAAGTTGACATGCAGGGTCATGTTCTTGAAGCAAACCTGAGACACCGCACAAACTTGACAGTGCTTCCGGGCTACATCGTAAATCGTGGAGCCTACACACCCTGAAACAAGAAATGCGTCAAGCCCAGAAAGTCCGACTAAAGTCGAGGCACATGCGGGAAGAGGGTCTTCCCGACCAATGCCTCCGGCAGCTTCTGCGGCTGCGCAACGCGAACGCCATCCTTCCAAGAGGCACTGAGGCTGACGTCTTGGGTCTGGGAGATTTAGGCTTAAGGGTAGTGTATCAGGGTAAGAGGGTTTAGTTTTCTTCGGAACTGCAGCAAGGACTAGGCCTGTGCAGTGTTCGGGCTTAGGGTTTATATCCTCAGCCATGGCCAGTCTACACGAGGCTCTTGTCAGCTCTAACCTTGCTGATCTAATGATTCAGCCACATAGGAGTGATGACATTTCAGTGCGTCTCCTAGAAAACCAGAAGGTGTCGACTCACGAGGCGAGCTGCGATCGAGCTCAAGGGCTTCACCCGGCGAGCCCACGAAGATCCCAACACTTGAAAGAATTCCACCCCGAATGCAAGAAACACGATGCTGGAATACTCTGGGAGCTTTGTGAACCTCTGTGCAGGTATTTACTGGCCGGTAGCCACTGACTCCACCAAGCCAAGCAGCTTTGAAGAGAGACACCTGAAAGCACGGGAGCTCCAAAAGCTTGACCAAGGATCTTGCGTTAAACCAAAAAGCCAGGGCTGGCTGCGGAGAGTGGTATCGTGGCTTCAGCCAGAACTCGTCACCGCTTGCTTGCTTGCTTGATCCCCGCTCGAGTGCACTCACTGTCTCCCCTCTCTCCTCCTCTCTCTCCTCAGCCAGGAATTCCAAAACCCGAACTTCTGAACTCATCCGGTCATAAGAAATGCCGAGCTGTTAACCAAGGAACAAGTAGCAAACCGTGTCGAGATCCTATATTGAAAAGCAAAGAAACACCCCTGAGGCTTGCAGCCGGGGAGCTGTGTTCTTGTTCGGGCTGGCTCCATCGAGGTTGAGAAGCACCTGAAACACGGCCATGCGCTTTGGCTTTCTTCCCTTCATCACCTAATCTTCGATCGATTAGAAGCACAACTTTTACATCCGTGAAGAGAGTGATGGCAAATAGAAAAGGAGCAACACACTTCAACAAACCGATGGAGGATTCCAGTGGCCTGCCGGTGGTCTAGCCAGTCTAGTCCAGTAGTTGGCAGTCACAAATCGCTGACCGAAAAGGACACCCGAACGTGTTCACAACTACTTGACCATTCCAGGCCTGCAAGTACATCGCCAAAACAACTAAAGAACACGCCAGACTCGCTGAGGCACTGCCACCGTCTGATCCCGTCCGAGAGCGAAGCGCGGGGCGAATTGCTCTCCTAAGTCACGCCACAAGCGGATGCAAGTCCATCTTGGCAAAACGCCCCCAAACGCCGACTGCCTGTGCTAGCAGCTAGCTCAGCCATACTCCGGAACCTTCGAGGGATGTCTGAAACAAGTCTTCCAGCAGCGAAATCCAGACCAGCTGCGCTTCATCTCCGCAGTGTAGAATCCCTGCGAGGACCATCGGGTGGTAGCTAGCTGCGGGGAGACTGTAAACTGGCTATAGGGGCCTTTGACAATGCTATTCACATTCCAACTTGGAAGCAAACTGTACAAACCAGAACACGCCGAAGCGCGGGCACTGGAATTCTCCAACTCGTGACCGGCCTCACTGTCGAAGAAGACAGAGTCGTCGGTGTCTCCAAGAAGCAGAGGAGACCCCTGAGACAGTACTGTGCCATACTGTGCATACATCACATGCTTTCCATACAAACATGCATACATACATATGTACATACATACATGCATACATGCATGCATGCATACATACACACGTACTGTCAGATACTCACATTCTCACATGCTCGCAATGCATTCATGCATCCCTACATTTTGGGCACTCGCACCCGACGAGGTCAGGCGAGGTTTGCGGCGATATTGGTATGCATACATGCATGCACACAGGGCCCGAAACACGGCCCTGCGGTGGGAACAGAACTTGGACGCGCGATTGTGCGAATCGGTATGGCGAGTCGCACATAGAACATGGTGAGAGTACGATTGGCACCCCAAACCACGCATTCCGGGGGGCGGGTACGATTTCATCGAGGCCCAATCCAATCCAAAGAAATACAACATGACCAACCCTACAATAACGGCAGAACCCTGCAATTTCAGAACTGGATCGGACCAATCAGGGCTGTGGACCGGATTGCCGCGCTTACTAATTTGCTGTAGAGTATGTTTCAATGACTCAACGGATGCATCCGCATCCACTTCCACAGCAGCACGCTTGCCACTCAGTAGATGCACATCCACGAAAATCGACGCGTTGCTATCAAAGATTCTTTCGCGCTGGAGCAGACGCTCGAGACCACGTTCACCCACGAAGATGAAGTCCGCTCCAGATGGACACTGCGTCTGCTGGCTGCTGCTTTCGCGCTGGAGCAGACGCTCGAGACCACGTTCACCCACGAAGATGAAGTCCGCTCCAGATGGACACTGCGTCTGCTGGCTGCTGCAGACGTCTTCGACCATCACACACTGTGTACAGAACGAACATGCATGCTGAAGTCGTGAGAAATGATCACGAGTACATGATGATTGGTAGAGTTGTCGCTTGATGCAAGAACTAATTAAGACCACAGCGATTGTGATGACCATGATGCTGAAAATCAACTTGTGTTTGTTGGTGTCTCGACAAACGCTACCGCACTGTCAGGTGCTGCTAACGCGGATGACAAGCTCTCAAAAGCTCGCCCAAAACGGGTTTAGGTTTAGAGAGCACAGTAAATTTGCTTGGAACCCCAAACCCTAACTAACCTAACCCGTTATTTCGAGCTGTATATGAGAGCCTTGGGGCTTAGGAGGGAACCCCTGCCCCCCACAGGCCTTACAGGGAGCTTGCCAACTGTCAGAGGCTCAACGGATTTCGTAAGTAGGTCTGTGTAACAATTATTAGGATAGCTCCAAAAAAAAGCGCAGTTATAACCCGAATGCCGATTAGAAGCTACTTACCAAGTCCCCTCATCCTCTGACCTAAACCATCAAAGCCCCAGGCGCCGCCACACACGTCGAGCTGCCACTATCCAAACCCGTCTATCTCCAGCATACCATAGTGTTCCCGCCCTGCTGATGAACAAACAACAAGCACATGAGACAGACAGGAAATGAAACAAACAAATAAACACATAGACGGATAGATAGACAGATAGATAAACAGATGGTAGAAAGATAGGTAGATAGACAGAGACGGACTTCGATAGATTCGGTAGGTAGGCAGATAGATAGCCAGGCAGATAGATATGTAAGTAGCTAAGTAGATAGACGGACAGTGTGCTGGGCTCGGGTAAGACTACATTGAGTCAGATTTATGTCAGACCAGACAGACAGACAGACCGGCAGGCCGACAGACAGGTAGGCAGTGAGGTAGATAGACAACTCAGTAAGGTAGATAGATAGTCAGATAGATAGATAGCCAGCAGATAGATAGATACTAGATAGGCAGATGGAAAGATCTAGATAGACGGATGGACGGATAGACAGTTAACTAAGTCAGGATAGATGGATGGATATTAATGGATAATAGATAAGTAGATAGATAGATAAATAGACAGATAGATAAATAGGTAGATAGATACATAGACAGGTAGATAGATAGGTACGTAGGTAGGTAGATAGATAGACTTAGATCGACATATGGACAGAAAGGTCGATCGATAGATGGGTAGATGGGAAGATGCGTAGATAATTGGCAAATAGATGGATACACAAATCGATAGATACACAGCTTGTGAAGCGAACCGTTGCCTCTGTCGAGAAGCCGAGCTTCACTATATTTCTTCCAGTGCCTCGGGCCAGCAGGCGATACTCCGCACCAACTATTCTGTCTCAAGCCTGCCTGCTCATGAGGACTCAGACTTCAAGAACCGGTCCGAAGTCCAGAAAAGAGCCAGAAATCACCACTGCGAGTGTTGCACTACCAGAGTGGCTATCACATGTCGTGAGTCGTTCGCCCTCATGCTAGCAAGCAGACCAATCGCGACCAAACGAAATCAGGCACGAGCAACGAACATAACGGGGAGAATACAGCACACCTCCTCTAGATGCTTATTTTGAGCAAAGTGGCTTCTTCTGTATCCCTGCGGGCCTCTGCGCACACAGATGGGCTTGGTGGCAGGGCGGGGGCCAGATGCCTTAGCCTTAGACCGGAACCTTTGCGAGCCGAGGAGTCTAGGTTTTCAAGTTAAGACTGACCCAACCGTCGCGGGACACGAGCGTTCCCGTTAATGCTGTATCCCTCTGGCGCGCTAACTTTCCGGCTTTGTTCGGGCCAGCCTTCACCCGGATTGAGAGACTCCACCAGCTTGACCTCGTAGAGGTAGCGGCCCTTCTTGATGCCCATGTTGGCCCTTGCCCCTGGTAGCAGTGGCAGCCGATTTCGTGAACCGGATTTCGAGACACACACACACACACCCACCCACCCGCGCACGCACGCACACAAGCGGGACAAAGGATGCTCAGAATGAAGCGCCGTTGCGGCCTGCTATGAGGTACTGCACACCACCGTCCGTAAGCTGCATCAGCACTCGCCCGCCGAGCGAGGGTATGCAGTTCAGCGTGCATTCGGACCTCAGAGACATCATTTTACTGTTTTCGGAAGCTTACCAGCATCCTTTCCACGAATCGTGCAAGGACCCTCGCAGTTTGGGATCGCCCAAACCCGGCTACCCTTCGGCGAAGCCGTCTCTGCTGGATCCCCCAAGTCAAGATCCGACAGAATTTGCAGCTCCAGGGGCAGGTCGAAGCTCACGTCGCTCTTCAGCCTTGTGGCTTGGCCAGGGAATTTCGAGTTTCCAACCCTAACGGTTGATGACATAAATCCTGCATTACCCATAATAAGGAATAGTATACCATACTTCCCGTAGTTTGGGGTCCTTAAGGTGATGCAAAGGGTTTATATCATCAACCGAATTACCCCTTAACTCAGAGTCCCCAATGTCCAGATACCCAGCTCTGCCGGGCCACGGCTTCGCAGAGCTTGGCTTGGCGTCGGTTTCGAGCTCGGGCGGCGGCCTGGGCGCAGCGACGGCAAATTTTCGTGTATCCATCTATACACAAAGTTTGGAAAAACACACCCCGAGTTTTGTGCGTGTGTGTGTGTGTACACACACACGCATATATATATATATGTACGTATGTATGTATGTAAGTATGTAAGTAAGTAAGTAAGTAAGTAAGTAAGTAAGTAAGTAAGTAAGTAAGTAAGTAAGTATGAGTATGTGTATGTGTATGTGTATGTGTATGTGTATGTGTATGTGTATGTGTATGTGTATGTGTATGTATACGTATATGTATATGTGTGTATATATATATATATATCATACATTACATATATATATATATTAATATATATATATATGTAGATCTGTAAAATCACAGTGTACATGCGCGTACGCATGTAATGCCTGCTGACGATGCATACATGAATATAAAGCATAAAAGTTGCCGCAACAAAACATTTGCTTTGCGTTCCTATCACGTTCAAGGCACAGAGAGAGGGAGAGAGAAAGGGAGGGAGAGAGATGGAGTCGGAGTGCATCGTTCATCCCGTCACTCTCATGCTCAGGGTCAAAGGTGCAGCGGTGCTTTGATTGGATTGATTGCCAAGCGGAAAGCTTGGGACAAGCCTCTCAACCTTGAGGCTTTGGCCATTCAGGCGAACCCTCAAGGCCCTACATTTCGCTAGGATCCGTGCGCTTCCTCCTCGGGGGCATCGGTCTTCTGCCGCTTGGCCTGGAACCCGAAACAAGGAATCGACGCCCCGATCCAAGGAACCTCATCCGAGGGACTGCGTATACTAGGCTTTCTGGGATGTCTTGGGTCAGCAAAGAACGGAGTCCTGAAAACAAAAAGCAAACACCCCAGCCTCGGGTTCCGCCATGGCTCTGAGGTTCCGCCCCCCCGGTTCCCGGTGCGCTGCGGCTCGAGCCGGCTCAAGGGGCAGCAAACACGACGAAGGGAACACAACTTCGACGGCCGGTCTTCGAGGGATCTCAACATCTCAAGAGCAAGAGTCCTCCGTCACAGAAACCTGTGCTACTTCTTCGGCTCAAGACTTCAAGCCTAGCCCCTCGAGTTAAAGTCAGTTCGGAGCGCAATTGCTCGACGAGCCCAGGCCGTGCGGATGAAGACGCGCCAGCGTACATTGCCAAAGCCACCAGTCGAGAGGATATGTTGTGCCACCCAGGCTTGCAGGGTCTTTGGGAATCCGGGATTGGGCCCGTCTTCTGTTGCACGGCTTACACTCTACCAGGAAGTACTAGCGCTTCTGCAAACTTGGAAGGTGCCGCAACCTTTTCACTTCACTGATTCCTTTTTCTGCTCTGTTCGTGGAAATCGGAAAGCGCTTACAGAGAAATTGGATCGGCCGGGGTCAAAACGTGGCAGCATGCGGCAAGCGGAAGTTGTTTAGAAAGTGTAACAGCTACAGCTGCTGCTGGAGAAACTAGTCTTCATCCGTTTTATACGACAAGCTTAAAAGGAAACTTGTGCAGTTCACGTCATGTCTACTGATTACTAACCTTAGTGTCAGACTTGGCTCGTCGCACTGTCGGATTTCCTTCAGCGACCGCCAGTCAGTAGTTCACAGTTCAAACGCACCCTTCACTGTATGCCTTACTAAGCGCTACACCTTGCGAAAGATGTATGACGAGGCTGCAAACGCCCATCAAACCATTTGCAATTCAAGCAGGCAGGGCAGCTTCTAATCTACTGGTCTATATTTTTGAGGTCAGCACAAGAGTCCGGTACGTCAATCCTACAATACGAGTAGATTATAAAGAGTGTGGCCCTAAATTTGGAGGAACACGTTCTCAACTCCACAAGGGAACCACCCCGTCGAAGCCAGTGGGGTGGAGAGCGTGGCATTGGCAGCACCTGCAAAGGGATCCTGGGCCGGCCATGCAGCGCGGAAAGGACCTCGAAACTCAGCCAATCGGTATGTGCTTCAGTGCTTTTTGCGGTTGCAACGTTTGAAGGCTTTCTGTTCCCTCTTACCTGGCAAGGACGAGCTTGAGGGCTTTTTCTCCGCCTGCCCAGTAGCTGACTAAGTCGCACCGCAGGGAAATCGTCCGAACCGAACGCAATCAACTTGAGGTTTTTGGGGCGTAGAAGATAAAGATCTTACTATGCGGACTACCGTGCTAAGAGATACCAGAGACGGGGGCTCCAGAACCAGTTGCTCGGCTCGAGCAGGTCGGAAGGAGCAACTCAACTCTTGCATGTCGCGATGCCTACATGTGTGCGTGTTCTAGCAATGTCTGGCACTGCCCGGCCACAAATTCCCGGCTAGCCCTAAACTCCTGAACCCTGGAAGAGGAAGTCAGATCACGCGGCTAAATGTGCATAACACCCGCGGGCACGTCTCTGTCTCGCCATCTCTCTCTGCTATGAAAATGGACGCAACTTTGATTTTCTGCCCCTGCGCTTTGCTTTCCACCACGTGTCGGAGCCGCCCCAGCGACTCCCGCAGATCGAAAGGGAGGGCCTGGCTCAAGGTGGCAAAAGCCTGTACGGATTGAGATGAGGCTTTGGGGGTGAGGAGAAGACAAGGGTGTATGTGATGAGACTCTGCATGCCAATCAGGGTTCGCGTCGTCACAAACGTGGTGCGTTCCGGCAGCTCCGCACGAGCCCTGAATTGCGCAACACATCAGAGGACCTGAAGAGGCCTAAATCCTGCGAAGTTCTCGAGATCACATCACGACACCGCAGCGACAACTTTGAAGACGAGCTTGCGAAGAATCCCAAAGCTCCGTTCTCAAGTCTAGGCCTGAGACGCAACCAGACTTCGAAGCAATATGATCCCACTCATTGCAGGCTTCCCCGCTTCGCTCCGGAGACCCTTACTCTAGAGAGTAAACCCCCCGGTGGCAGGCCTCGCGGATCTCGCGGAGGCGAGCCGTTCTGTCTCGGAAACCCAAACGGTGCCGATGCAGCCAATGCCGAGCCTAAAATCGCTTCGAGGTCGCGGTGGTGATGCTGATGCAGATCATTGTGCTTTGGGGCATGGGCATGGGGCTACTCTCAATATGAATCGCCAGGTTCAGGTTTAACGGTTTAATGTTCGTCTGACTGCGTTCTTAACGCTGCGCTTGATTGCACGACTTGTCCTACTCTTGTTGCTGCTGCTTTGTACTCTTGAACCACATCTTGGTTTATTGACCGTGTACAGCAGCAGTCTGGGCGAGAGCTCCTCTAATTAACTACCTAATTGAATGTGTTGTGTTCCCTCAACCCCAAACCCTAACCTAAACTCTAACCCCACCCCCTAATCCGGCAAACCCCAAGCTAGTCCTGCAACTCGAGGGGCACAAATTGCCGCATCGCCACAAGAGGTGAAGAAGCTTGCCTCCGGGGCAGTGAGGCAGTGCATGGCCTAAACTCGAAGACGCTTTTGAGCTCTTGGTCACCCATGGGGTTGTTTTACCTGCCTTCCGAAACCTGCCGGGGCATCTAGATTCATTGCTCTGGCTGTGGGAGTTCCCGGGCTTGTGTTTATCTGGGAGGCTGGCTGGCGCCTTGTGGTGTTGCAAAGTTGCCCGCCCATCCACAAAAGCGTCCCAACTACAATTAAGCACAGTCTGAAGTCTGAAAGTATATATGAAAGTGTGTGTCATCTTTCAGGGGCCAGGGTGCATAGGCTCCATCGCGTACCACCGGGTGGCCAATGTGCGCCAAGTGGCTCCGGATCCTCGGAGTGGAGGTGGGACCCTGAGAGTATGATTATCCTCGCCTTGCGGCGGCTTCCGCTTCATCCTCATCACCGTCTGCGTCTGCGCCACAAAGGATCTTCACTCGCCATCATGAACGGCTTTGGATCTTTGGGCAAAGTAAGCAAGATGGCAGTTGCACACTGCATCTTCCCTGGCTGTGTAGCGCAGTGGAAGGGGCGGCTCCCTTCATCGCGTGGTTTTTGAGCAGAACAAGCAAGCAAGGAGGGGCTGTGTAGTTTTGGGGCACAACACTCAATGAACGGGAAGGAGGGGCTCCCTCGTTGTGTTTTCGGTGCAACGAAGGGAAGGAGGGACTCCCTTCGTTGCGTGCAACGATCGAAGAGAGGAGGGGCTCCCCGAATTCGTGGTGTTGGGGGGGGCAAACGGGCAATGAAGGGCCCCCTTCATTGCGCGGTTTTGGTGCAAGACAGGCACTCAACGGAAGGATCATTGTGTGGTTGTGGTGCAAAACAGGCACTGAAGGGAAGGAGGATCCCTTCATTGCGTATAAGGAAATGAAGGGAAGGGTGCACCCTGCATTCAGGCAATGAGCGGCTTCCTTGCATGGCTGTACAATTGAAATTTGCTGCATGTTTGAGGACACCACTGCCCAGCAAACGGCAAGATCA